AGGAGACAGAAGACGCCAGAAAAACTGTGCGGTTTGAGGGAGCGGCCGTCTGGGTGGGCGTTGGCGTGGCTGTTGAGGTCACAGCGGCCAGTGTGAGGCCACCACTTCTGCTTCATGATGTCCAGGTCACCTTTTTCCTGCAGCTCCAAGATCCTGCAGGGGGATGAGAGACCAACAGGTGAGTCTTTAATTCATCTCCTTAACCTTCTGAAGTCTTGTGACCCTCAGGGCCCCAGATGCCTGAGGCAGGGGATATTTAAGGATAATCACCTTTAGTGGCCAAGTATGTTACACACAAGGAATTTGTTTCCGGTACAGAACCGATGGCTCTAACCATCGGGGGCAATGGGGGGGTTCAGTGTCTTGTCCAAGGACACTTCGACACGCGGACTGGAGGCACTGAACCTTCAACCTTCTGGTTGGGAGACGACTGCTCTACCCACTGTACCACTGTCGCCCTGATGACTTCCTGCGTCATTTTCATATTTGCTTACATAGACATGTCTGTATTGTGTTTCATTGGCTGGTCAAGTTTAATACTGTAGCTGAGACAGGGCAAGGCAACTGTAGAAAAGTGTGAAACATTTAACACGCATAAATAGTATGAAGGTACTTTTGTCTTTTTAATGCAAAGAAAAATCAGGTTTGTAATTAAAAACGAGCAGGAAATCTTTTTTACATCATAAAAAGTTTTGAATCAATCTGCCTACTAGTGCACCTCTATTGGCCAGTTGGCACTGAGTGACAGCTGTGACGAGCCAGTGAATTTGGCCCGGGTCTCTGACCTTTATTGCCACAAATTCATTCATGTTCCAGGGCCTGACTTGTCCTGAAGCTGCTCATGGAGAAGAGGGTGTAGGGTGAGTTCACACAGAATGAGATAAAGTTAATAAAACCATTGTTTATGCAGAGCTATGAATTTGCACATTTGATGTTTACTACCAGGCGCTTAGTGCTAACCGGCCTGAACCTGCACATGGCGGATGCCTTATTCATAGCTAAACATGTACCAAGTGTTTTCTAAACTAAAGAGCAACTTAATGTTAAAAATTATGGGTTGAGTTCAAACTACAAATCAGGCCCTGGAACATGAATGAATTATTACTGGTAAAGGTCAGAGACCAGGGCCAAGGTCATTGGCTTGTCACAACTGTCACTCAGTGTCAACTGGCCAACAGAGGTTCGTTACCCCCCTGGATTGTAATGTGAACTGCAAAGATTTTTGAATGACACTAAAAACAAGCTGGCTTCTTTTTAATTGCATTACAAAGACACAGAAGTACCTTCATACAATATAATATAGAAAAGAGACTGTGGCCTTCATCAGGGTCATCATCACAAATGTTTAAATGAGATGGGAATGACAGATTAGTTTGTTTTGAAGCCATTCTGTAATACCTTTTCTTCAATGCTTGGCATTGTGGAGGGGGAAATAAATTCCCATGCTTTTTAATGTCAGGGTGGCTGTCCTCCACCTGAGGCTCAGTAGCATCTGGGTGATGCAGCAGGACAGTGACCCTAAACTTTAAAGTAAAGCCATGACAGAAAAGCCTCAAAACTAAAAAACCTGTCTCTATGTGTCAGAGCCCAGACCTCGACCCAGCAGAGATACCGTGGACTGAGCTCAGAGAGCTGTTCACCAGATGTCCTGGGAACATGTCTGAGCTGAAGCAGGTCTGTGAGGAAGAACAGTCTACAGCTACAGGGTAAGGCTGCCAAAGGTGGCTTGACCAGTAATTACATCCAAAGGTTCACTTACTGTTTCCACCAGCACTTTAAATATGTAATAACAGGGGTTCAATAAAGACATGAACCCTAATTGTCTGTGATCAGTGACATGCGGTGAGGTTGACAGCTGGTGAGGCACTAACTCTTTTACAGTCAGATTTACAAATACAAATGAACCGTTAACAGACAATGCGTTATGTTTTATATCAGCATTCTTCACACAAACGTGACCCATATTTAATTTGAGGTTAAAATTTATTCCAGTTGAGCTTATTTCTAACTAGAAATAATAAAAGTTTATGGTCTTACCTTAATTTTCTCATCTTGGAAATGTAATCTTCCATTTTGATAAGGCGGATTGTAAAGGAAATATAAACAAGCACGAAGAAGATTGAATCTGTGGGCTCACTAGCGCCCTCTGCCTTGAGGAAGGCGTACTGTTTGCCTCACCGAGTAACTTTTTTACTGGGTTTTATGGTTAATCTGGAGCCTAAACACGTTACAGAACTACATTTTATACATTATCCAGATTATGGCAAGGCAGAGCATATAATCAGAGTGTTTGAAAGCATTTTATTTGTGATATATAGAGGGACAGCGACACACTACTTGCATCGCATACAGTTTGTGAGGATTACACGATCCACTGAGAGGCACAGCAAAGTGCTGCCTCATCGCGCATCTCCTCCATGTATTTGACCGGGACATACGGAAATTCTGCTATTCTTTATTGAAAAAAAATCCTTCATCGGATTCGAACAGCAAAAGGGCCTACAACACACACCAGCCGACAAATATTAACATTTATTCTATTTTATGGTTAACTTTTTTTTTCTTTTCAAGATTGACAGGGGAGGCTCTGCCTCACCTGACCGCACGTCACTGTCTGTGATATTAAACACAGTGCGTCTTAGAAGAGAGACCAGATCACAATAAAGTGACCAAATCATGTAGAAAACTGGGTCAGTCCAAATGGCTCACTTACTTTGCCTTGCCTCTAAAGGATGGCAGGTCTTTAGCAGTTTTCTTCTGGTTGGTCTTTGCATTGTGTCTGACCCTGATGAAGGTCCCAAGCTGCTGTTGATGCTACATGTGCAGCTGGAGTTTTGACTTCCATCTGCAACTGTAGTGCTCTACCACACAATGATACAACAGTGACCTGCTACACAGGTAAAGCTAGACTCAGGACTATGCTAACAGATTGGTCACATGGTAATAAATGAATGCAAACCCACAGGCCTGGACAAATCAGTTCAGCCCTGTCTCATCACTGCTGTAAGGCTGGTACAGAAAAGGATTATTATGGGCTTTTACATGACTTGTTAATTGGACTAATCAATGTTGAGCTCAGCTTCAGCCAGTGACTTTTTGAGGGTCTGTTCGATAAAACTGACATTACAGGGCCTCAAATGAAATGTAAAAGGGACATAACTGTCATGTAAAAACAATCATCCTGCATTGGTTGTAATCATGTGCCACCTGAGAAGATACTGAGTTACTGAAGCGTTTCATTGCTGCTAGGCTCAGTGCAGGTGGTAATTTGTGGCTTCATCTCTGCAGAATGCCGCACGGATTGATTTTTTTTTTTCCTCTTTCTGCTCAGACGAGGAATCAGCTTTTCTTTAAAACCTGACCAAACAGCCATGTGTTGTGATGGCAGGCCTCACCTTCCAAGAGAGGAAGGCAGTGGCATCGCTAAGAAAAAGACGAGCACCCTGAACACAGAAGATCTGCACCCTCACTCGCGTGAGATCCTATCAACAGCTGCAGGAGAAAGGTAAACAGCCTAAAACACCTGGAGAAGTCACCTCTCACATACAGTATATGGACTAAAGGGAAGCGCCCCACTGAGACCCAGCAGCAGCAGTGTACGGTGGTGCACACAGTCTGTCCTCGCTCCTATATTGGTAACTTTTCAAGAAGACATTCATTCCATAGCCTAACAGCCTATAGGATCTAGACAATTCAGTCAGGTAGCCTATGATGCCTCTGAGCTTAAATAGCAATTTAAATTGATATGAGATCTCTCAACAAGTAAGAACAGTCATGTTGTTATGTACGCTGTTTGACTCTACACAGACAGTACATGGCGGCAGACCATCTGACCTCAGAGACTGAGGAAGGTGTCCAGACTCAGCGACCACAGCCTGACTGCTGAGAGCAGCCACCACTGGAGGCCGGACTGTGTCAGCTCTGTCCACAGAGAGAGGCGGAGACAGAAACACTTTGCACTGAAACACCTATGGACATTTAAGAACAAAGCTCTTCACACATTTGAAATGTGTGACTCGCTCCCTGAGCAACTCAAAATACATAGGAAAACAGTGTCAGTATCAAAACATGCCTGTGCATGTTTCCAAGTGAACAGACGCGCAGCACAGCAACACCACACTACATGTGTAGCTCATGTCCTCACAGCTCGCTCTGACCCCGAACCAACACCCTACGTCTGACGCCTATTATTTTACTTCAGCGAGGTGCCCTGCTGCACCCAACCTGGATAAGCAGATGATAGTGGATGGATTATTTTACTTAAATGATGATATAAATTACCTTTTTAGTTATATGAATTGTGATGATTGTAATACTAAGGTTTTGGCAGCCTGTACACGGAGACAGTCAGTAAAGCTGGTTGAATTGAACTGTTCAACTGAAGGCTCAGCTCTTAATTAGAATATTTTACCATGTTTATTACCTTTCTCATTAAAGTATTTTTTATTCATGTACTTTAAGTTTACATTATTACTTTTGTACCTTGTTTGTCAGTCATCTGTAAAGCCCTTTGAATTATTTAAGTTGTACAAAATGTGCTACATAAACAACGTTCTCTTCCTACAATTCAGACTACGTTGTCTTTTTGACTTTTTCAGAGTTGGTTTGCTCTAAAGCTCAGCAGCGATTATCTTGTCACTTCAAGCCCACACAGATGCTGGAGCAGCACAGTTACTACTAGCAGTTAACGCATCTCGATGACTGTAGAAATCTGTCTTGGCAATCAGCTAACAAACCTGTACAGCCAGGGCACCAAACATCAGAGCTGTCCGAGTCTGAAAAAGCCCAAACCGCCAGTAACAGCAGAACACACAGCCCTAGTGATCCAGGCAGCTTGCTCCACCTCATCTGTGACCTGACATACTACTCTGCTTCCCTCAGGCCGCCGCCCTCGTTGCCTCAACTTGGGCCATCATAATTAAGCAAACTGCCACAGTCACTGAATCTGCTTGTAGCTATGGTAAAATCAGAACCCAGTTTGCTGCATTAAATCCTCTCTGCTCAGCTAGAACACACTGAAGGTCGCTGTGCTGCAGTCTCCATCTCGACCCCCTAGAAACAGCCCGAGGACAAAACAGTTTGGCAACACAAAAGTCTGCAGAGGTTATTCATAGCAGGATTAACAAATGCAAACCCAGGGAGGAGGTGCTGCAGCAGCTACGGGACTAGGTATTAAAATGATGGTTGGAAATGTGAACACTGAACAGCGGCTCTAGCCTTAGTTTAACACTGAGATGCATTGTTCCTGGTCGTCCCTGAGTGAGAAACTGT